GGACGCTTAACCGACTGTGCCACCCAGGCGCCCCTGGTGGTTTCTTATAAGACTAAACATACGCTTACTGTATGATTCAGCAAACGTGCCCCTAGGTATTTACCCAAATGAATTGAAAACCCATGTCCACATAAAAGCCCGCAAATGGATGTTTATAGCAGCTTTATTCGTAATTGCCAAAGCTTGGAAGCAAGCAAAATGTCCTTCAGTAGGTGGATGGATGACCGTGGTACATCCAGATAATACAGTATCGTTCCGTTCTCAAGCTATGGAAAGACATGGAGGGAACATAAACGCCTATTACTAAGTGAAAGAAGCCAATCTGAAAAGGCATAACGTTCCGGAAAAGACAAAACGATGGAGACAGGAAAAGGATCAGTGGTTGCCAGGGGTTAGGGAGTGGGGAGGGCTGAACAGCAGAGCACAGAGGATTCTGAGGGTGGTGAAACTATTCTGTATGATACCATGATGGTAGATACGTGTTGTTATACATTGTCAATAGCCATAGATGTACAATTTCAAGAGTGAACCCTAACATAAACTATGGGCTTTGGGTAACAATACCGTGTCAGTGTGACTTAGTCTATTGTAACAAATGTACCACTCTGGTGAGGGGTGCTGACACTGGGGGATAGGCTGGGGGGACATGGGGCACATGGCAAATCTCTGTACTTTCCACTCAATTTTGCTGTGATCCTAAAAGTGCTCTAAAAACTAAGGTCTACTAAAAGATGGTTAACATGGTAAATTTTATGTCATGTATATTTTACTGCAATGAAAAAATTTACAGTGTTCGTAGCGCCTTTATTCATGACATCTCCAAACTGGAAACAATACAAATGTCCCTCGACTGCAGAATGGCTCAATGGATGGAGGGGTCACCCTGTGGAATATTAAGGAGCCACAAAAAAGCATAAACTGTCTCCGGCTACACACAACACCCATGAATCTCAAGAACAGAATGCTGAGTGAGAGGGGCACCTGGGGGGTTCAGTCAGTTAAGCATCTCACTCTCGATTTCAGCTCAGGTCATGATCTCATGGTTTGTGGGATTGAACCCCGCATTGGGGTCGGCACTAATAGCACAGAGCCTGCTTGGGATTCTCTCTCTCTCTCTCTCTCTCTCTCTCTCTCTCTCTCTCTCTCTCTTTCCTTCCCCTGTGCTTGTGCCCGTACTCTCTGTCTCAAAATAAACAAACTTTTAAAAATTAAAAAAAAATAAGAATGCCAAGTGAGAGAAGCACTATACAAAATAATACATACTACATGATTTTATTTGTATCAAATTCAGCAACAGGCAAGACTAATCTTTGTTCTTAGGAGTCAGGGTGATGATTAGTCCGGACTGAGCAGGGATATGGTGGGAGCTTCTGCAGGCTGGAATGTTCTGTCGTTGGGTCTGGATGCTGGTTACCTGTGTGTGTCTAGTTTGTAAAAATTTACCAAATGGTACACTTAAGATGTGCCTTTTTTTTTTTATAGTATGCTCTCTATGAATTCAAAAGAACGTGCACAGACACATACATATATACATATGTGCAACATGCATATATACATGTGCATATACATATGTACACAACCCCACACACAAACACACTCTGGAATCAGAGGGAAGGATGGGTGCTGAAATTCTGGTTCTGCCGCTTACTAGGCTTATGATCCTAGACAGGCCCCTGGACTTCACTGAGCCTCATCGGTACGATACCTGTCCCAATACCTCACACAGACATCAGTGCTGGTTGAAAGCACATTGATCCAGTATTTGCTATTAATATTCTTGCTGTTCCCTTTGGTGACTGAGCCCGGACTGGGGCAGTGTGGGGGCAGGGACACTGCTTCCGAGGAGGAGGGGGGCCACTGGGAGGGCCAGTCTAAACCGATAAGCAAAAGATGCTCATCTTGCAAAATGTTGCAAAGGGAGGAATCTGAGCAGGTGCACTGGTGGGAAGATGCCTGTGCAGGGCCTGCCCTGGGCCTCTGGGAGAGGAAGGCAGTTAGGGGGGTAATGAATGCAGAGCTGGGGAAATAGATCCTTTCCTGGAGAGCAGGGCCTTCCACTATTGCTGGGCAATCAAGACACCCATGAAAGTTTAAATACCTCCCCAGCTCTGGCCTGGGGAGCTTCATCCTTGAGGGGGAAGCAGACCCCCAGGGGGATTTCCCTCTTGGGGAAGCCTAGTACCTTCAGGAGGCTTGGGCTGGGTCCTCGGATCCTCGAGGCCCAGTGACCTAGATTTCATGCCCGAGGAGGGGAAAGGCAGACCTGGCCATACGTTTAGGAACAATCTGGCAGGATCAGACTCCTGTTCCATTCCAGACCCTACAACTTATGAACTGTGTCACCTTGAATGACCTTGGGTCATTTAACCTCTCTGACCTTCGTTTTCCACTTCTGTACAATGCGGATAATTTCTGCCTCATAAGGTTGGTTGCAAGGATTAAGCAGCTTCCCTTTGCGTGTAGAGTAAAATCCAAAGTGTTAACAGTGGTATCTTACGCCCAGTAATTTGGCCCGAATGCCACCCTGGCCTCATTCCGTATGACTTGCCCTCTTCTATGCCTTGCTGTTCTCCCAACATGGCAAGTTCATCCCACGGGAGGGGATTTACATTTTTAGTCCCCCTGCCTAGAACCCTTTCCTGCCAGATCTCGCTGCAGCAGTTGGGGCTCGGCTAAAATGTCACTCTTAGGGAGGTGTTCTCCGGCCTCCCTGTGTAAAGCGGTCACCTCCAGGCACTCTCCATCCCATCACCTAGCTTGTCTTCCTTGCACTTACGGCTGAATGAAAATACCTTGACCATGTATTTGTTTCTTTGCTTGCTCCTGTTCC